AGTCTTATAAACATACACAACAGCATAAAAAATTTTTTAAAATATCCAGTATTCATAAAAAACATATTGATTATCACTAATAAACCTCAAAGTATTTGGATTAAAAAATTTTACTTTTCACTATGAACAACGAGGAAAAGTTATCTTATTTTCTGGCTATTTGTAATGAATTAAAAAAAAACAGCAATGAATGCATAAAGTTTGTTTTACAAATTTATTTCGTCGAAGTTATGGCAGGTGTATGAGTTTAAACATTTCATAAACCATTGTCTAATTTGATTGTAGAAGACACATAATATATGGAAATTCACAAATGTGTTGGCAGTGAAGAACATTAATAAAGCATATTGTTTTGTATAAGTGCATAAAATGATTTGAATTATTGTTTAGATGCGCATAGTAAGCATTATTTTAAACAAAAGTTACGAAAAAAATTATGTAGCATGACGCAGAAAAACGCTTTTTTTCCTAAACAAAAGTTTGGATTGCCTTTTTTGTATCATAGGACTTTGAAAAGGAAATAAATGTTTACGTTTCCGTAATTCCAAAATGTAAATACCGTCATTTCTAGAATCAGTTCCTGGCTAAACTATGATATGCGAACTAATTAAGGTTTGTAAAATTTTGTCCACATTGCAATTTTAGACCAGTTTTTCTAGTTTTTCTTAGTATAAATCATCGAAATTGAGTGCCAACACCAATGAAGAAGTTAATGATTTAGTTCTCTTATTTAAAAATTAAAAAAAAACGCTTGAATTATTTTCGAATATGAGATTAATTTATTCCAATTATGAGATTTAAAGTTTGCTCACCATAAAAAGAGCGTTTTAAAAACAAAACTGAAAATCGTTGAGTACATACTAACGCAGTTCTGGGTGAACTATTTCCTTTGTGAACTTGTTTTGTGCGACGTTGTGGGTTGAATTAAAAAAAGCATAGATTTAGATTTAAAAAAATTATAAAAACGAAACTATATTGTAGATTGTGGATTGTCTGGTACCTCAATGTGAGCAAATAGCTAAGCATTTACGAATATCGAAGATCTTTTTAAAATTTAAGAAATGCTCTAAATGCCCACTTTTGCACAATAATATTGCATCTTGAAAATCTAAAAATAATAGTTAACAAATTTTTCAAGGAAAACAAATTTCTCAAGCTAGTTAACAAATTTCTCAAGGAAAAGAAAAATCAGACGTATGTTAAAAATTTTTTAAATTCTTATAAGTTTGTTTTACTGTATCATGGAAATCCTTTTTTATTAACTTAACAAAAAAAATGAATATTTTAAATTTTAATTTAAATTATTTAAACTACTTAATTACAGTAAGTAATTCATATTTCAAGCATATTTTATTCGATTAGTTTTAGAAAACAAAGGAAATTAATTTAGTTGAAAAATTATTAAATTAGTAAAATACAAAGTCAGGGTAAGATGAAAAAAATATTAAATTTAAATAATTATTGTTAAAATCATTGTTAAAAAATTTTATGAAAATATACATTTAAAAAGACTTGTCTCGAAAAATCAATTTTAAGGTTTTTGAGGAAATAATAAGATACAAAATATTAAACGATTTCTTTCACGTAGAGATAGTCTAAATGTTTTAGCAGTTGATGAATTAAATGCAAATTAAATGGTATAGCAGCGACTATATTCTGCTCAACTGAAAATAAAATCCTAGTTACAGGTTAAGGGTTAAAGACAAAAACAAACGATGTAAGGAACTTTGAAAGACTCAAAATAAAAATGAAGGAGATCGCGATAACAAACAAAAAAACGCCACTGGAATAACTAAAAAATGCAAAAAAAATCTGAAAGAAAAAACAAGCTGAAGAGTTTTGAAAATTAAGCATTGATGAAAGTAACTTTCATTTTAAATGAAATAATTACATTTATGATGGTTAAAAAGAGTATCTAAAAGTTACTTTTGTGATTAATTTAGTCATTCTCTTACAAACAAGAATCCCAAAGTGTTTAATCAAAGAGAATTTGTAAGTAAATGTTTTTATGAAAGTAAATAGTTTTCTTTGACGATTTTGCTTAGGCTGAAAAGATCTAAATTATTAAAAATTAAATTTTGTGTGGATAAAAACGAATGTAACGAATGCAGTTATGGAATCTCTTTCAAGGTATCTAAGTTATCTTTTAAAATATTTTATCATTTTATTTCTAATTTAACAAAATAAATTTTTTATCTTAAAATGTAAGAAATTAAAATGCAGAAATACATGTAAAATGAAGCAAATAACTTTTTAAATACTATAAAATTTATTTTTAATCTACTTTTAAATTTATTATTTCAACTTTTACTTCATAAAACAAAACTATTATTACTTCGATTAAGGAGGAAAGTGTTGAATTAAACCGATGTTGTATAGAAAAATGAAAAGTAAATTTTAAAGAATGAATTGCTTTTTGTGCTGTAAAATTGAGTCAATTTGATAGTGATACTTCGAATACATTCTTTGTCAAAATTATAGTTCGAAAACCAAATTAATTCCATGACAGATAAAATTGTATTAAAAATAAATAAATCGTAAACATTTAAGTTTTTTATCTTTCCTTTGCTAAACAGCATTGTGTTGCCACAACGTTTATCATTAAATTTAGAAAGTTAAGTACGCCGTTCTGCAGCGTGCCTTCCAACATATTTTAAAATCAACTTCGCTTTGATAAATCTCATCTTCCTTCTTTTCCAAATCTGTTTGGGAGTTTTTTTGAAACTTTTTTTTAAATATTTTAGTCTTTTTTTTACTGAATATTCATTCATTGATATAAATACAATAAGGTGGAATAAAAATAGTATAGAAATAAAAATGCAAGTTTACAAAAAATAATGACTTTTATTTGAAATATGAAAAGATGAATTATGGGTTAAATGCAACACTGATTTCTACAATATCATTTTATTTCCTTTTTCTAGTTATTAATTTTCAAAATGAAGATTTTAATACAATTAATACTTAAATATGTACAATAAACTAAGTTAAATTTCAAACAATAAATTTCGAACAATTATCTTTTCAATGAAATATAAAATACCTTCATAAATACGACAATAAAATTATTTATCACTTAAATTTCACCGTAGCTTTTCGAGTGGATAATGGCATGCATATTTTAAAGCATATAATCTTATTTACAAAACAAAACTAACACATTATTTTGAAGAATATAATGCGTCAAAATAACATAGTGTTTAAAATTAAACACTGTTCTTTCAACTGCAAATACGAAACACTTCACGGTATTCACATTAATTGCAACATATTATCCTATATTTCCAGTAAATTGACCTGAAATATTTGTACATTACAATCACAAACAATGTATATTGCGGCTTTCAGGAGAACTCCTCCAGACACTCGTCTCACGTCGTGGCGGGTACTATGGTTACGAGGAAAGTTTACTTCGAATAGGGGTGTGGGGTGAATAGTTTTATCTTAATCTTAGTGTAGGTCGTCATGAGCAAACCAATCGACACCCTTCTTTCCTTCATTTCACCCCAATTAGAAATGTGCTCTCACTTGTTACCATAGCAGACGAAAGCCCCAGACTTTCATTCTGGAGGAGTTCTCCTTAAAGCAGCACTATAAGTTACATTTTATATGAAGATATTTATGATTGGAAGTTCTTTTAAATACACGGAGCTCTCTTCTCAAAGCCTTCAGGAAGACGATCTGTAAAAGGTAAATAGATTTAATCACATTCTAAAAGCATGTAAGGATACATAGTTTGGTGAAATGTCTACAATTATTGGCACAGATTTTTACAGGAAGCTATACCGTGGAAGAAACACTCTATGGAGAATTCTGCTTCACCTACATCAGTAATTTAAAATTTAAGTCACGGAAAAAGTCGATATAGGTAAGCCAAGAGTCAACAAAGTTTTAAAATACTGATTTTTGTTTCAAAATATCAAAACGCAAATGAATTATGGCGAGATTACTCAGGAGTAAGTAATCGCGAAGTTATCCTACCCTTATTTGTTTGTAATTTGAAACTTAGCTCCGGAGCTTCATGTTTTATTCTAGAAATTCACTTTAAATTGCCTATGAGGTGAAACAAAAATTGTCATGAAAAGATCCACCCATAGTACAGCTATATCGTAAATAATTTGAGTCTTATAAACATGGGATTGTATAAATGTAAAAAGAATTCGCTACAACAAGAACTGTAACAGAAATATATGTGTACATCGCAATATAGTAAAAGACCTATGGTAAAAGACTGTAAAAGTATGGTAAAAGACCTATAAGGTATAAGGTACTATAAGGTAATGACATTTCTGGTAAAAAAAAATCCTAAATCTGGTTCAGAAAACCAAAATATGAGGTATTTAAACCAAACTTTTGGTAATTTAAAGGTTTACCGGAAATTCCGATATACAAAATTTTAGTTCTTATTACCGTATATTTAGTGAAAATACAAAAATGAAAAGTAAATTTTAAATAGTTTTTGTACCAAGCCCTAAAGTAACATGATAAAATTACCAAATCATACCCCATATTATAAAACCATATGTTAATTTCACGAAAACCATTACCTAAGTAAGTACTTCTGTAAAAATTACCGCGCTTTTTGATTTTTCCATAGAGACAGAAATTTTAACATATTTTGGTAATTTAAACCATACTTTTTTTCTCACAGTGGCTGTAATAGAAATTTGTCGCTTGTTGTAAATATCAGTTTGTTATAGTTTCTATCACTTTTTTAAGCATTTAATTTGACTGTTTTTTGATTTAACCCTTTTTTTTGTTGTTTCGTTCGCTGGTACTGCACTTCTACGCGTGGGAGTAAAGAGGTCGGAGAAGAATTCTTCCGCGTTGCCCGCACGAGTTTAAAAAAGGTGGTTGAGCGGAGCCGAGACAGGTGGAAGTATGACGGAGCCTCTGCTGGATTAACTAAGCAAGAGACGACAGGAGATTGCTTTAGACAGAGCCGCTGTGTGGTGGAGTCAGACTCGGAACCTCTAATCGATGAGTTAACTAGTGAGAGGAGTTGGACCGGAGTCAGGTTCTTTTATGGTACAGAGTTCTTTCCACTCCCGGAAACTAGTACATCCTAGTACTAGTACTAGTACAAATAAACTGATTTCTATCTGACTACATCCGATCTATCCGAATATCTGAATACTATCTATCCTAATTAACTTTTTCCGAGGGATTCAAAAGCAGCACCGGTGGAGATCGCAAGAAGTTTGGTTTTAACTTGGATTTACCATTAACTTTAATATTAAAAACTTTGAGTTCAATTTTGGAAGGCTGGATTGTAAACTGATATTTTACTTTTAATTCTAGTTTTTACCCAAATTTAAGAGAAGTATATTGTACTTTTTATAGTTTTACTGGTTTCATAGAATTATTTATAAAAATCGTAAGGATAAGAGTTTTTTGTACTTTTTTATAGTTTTACTGGTATTACAGAATTGCTTTTAGTAAATTGTAAGAAGTGTTGATTTTACTTTGTATAAATTGGCTGGTTGTTTGGCATTTGAAAATAGATTGAGCTTGTTTATATACAGAATTTAGGTTTTAATAAATTTTTGTGAATGATAGCTGTTTTGAATATATTTTTCAATTTTATTTTGAAACTGGATGACACTGTTACCGAGTTCGCGTTATCGATCACGGGGAAAATGAAAATTTAATTAGAAAGGTAACAGCACATGGCTATTCTATATCATTGTTTAGATTCTAAATATTTAAATAAAATTAATATTTTAAACAAATTCAATAATTTGATCATAATAATAATACTAAATATTTCGAACCGTATTATAGCACATATTTATTGCAATTTTGATGTCGTGCTAAGTCAAACAATGATTTCTATATAATTTATTTTAGTTTATGAACGGAATTAATAATAACGAACAAATTAAACGAAATTATGGTACAGAGTGGCAACTTAAAAGGCTCTTCATTACCTCGGTCCACATAAGTGAACTAGATACGAATGTAACCGATATGGTAGTGGAATTTACATCAAATTGCAAGACCATGACTTAAAAATTTAGAAGAGAAATCTCGACTACTGCTCAGTATTTCGAGGTGAGCTAATAGCCATTGATGAAGCCCTTGACTCTCTAGTGTTTCTTCCCCGTGGAAATGAGATATGGATTCTGTCTGATAGCAGAAGTGCAATACAGCACTTGACCAATTGGCAAAGCGTGAGAGATAGTGCTGGAGTGTCAATACTCAAAAAGTTAAAACGGCTTTCCATTTCGCATCAGATTCATCTGCAGCGGATTCCTTCCCACGTCGATCTTGTAGGAAACGAGATTGCGGACACTTTGGCTAAAGCTGGTGCTTGTGAGGCCTCTGTCCTGTCGGCAACCTTCACTTTTTTGGAAATCCTCTCCAAAAAAAATTACAAAAGCAAGAACACTTGAAATGTTCCTCCAAAGCACCCATGGTATCAGTGTTCTCGACCTGGAGGCTCCCTGGCCCAAGGTTTTAATAGACAGGAACAAACTATTCTTGCCCGCTTTCGAAGAGGTCACCTTAAATCAATGAAATTTTCGGAAGGATCCAAGAACTTTGAAATTTGTACCAACTGTTCATCAGACCAGGCTTCGCTTCACCACATCCTTGCTAGCCTAGGGCTCACCAAACAGGATTTAGCAGATGATCCATTGACGGTGTTGGATTTTTTGAGGGTGTATAAAGTCATGGACCTGGTCTAGCACTGCTTGCCAATGGGGGCGTGCAACAACAACATAATTGAACCTTCACTTCTTAGGTTCAAAAACAAGCAATAAGAAAATTATATCAATACATCCATTAAATGTAAATTATTTGGGTAGAAATGATTTTCGAAGAATGATGCGAAATCCACATGTTTGAAAATGTAACCAATTACTTATTCTGAAAATAATTTTTTTCTTTTGACTTAGTTCTGTGATCTGTATTAAGCTTTTAGTTTTGCATTTATTTAATATTTAAAAAATAATACAGTCAAGAACATGCAGGTCCACATATGGGCACCTTGGTATGTAATGACAATTTATGACAACGTAGTAGTCAAGTGAAATCTGATATTATTAAAATATCCAATTTTACATGTATTTACTAACATTTTTATGAGATGAGTATTTTACTTACTTGCTTTATATTAGTGTACAGTGCGCAAAATAAAAAATGGACCACCCTGAATAACTTTTGATCAAATCTAATGATCTGATATTCGAGTAATCTAAAGATCTGATATGACGGGGTGATCTGATGATCTAATATTATACGCTCTATAACTCATTCTCAATGGTTCAAAGGGGATGACCTCAAATAAGCTAAAAGTGCAGAGGATATTTAAAATTAGTAACAAGCCTATTAAACTTAAATTTAGTATTTCAATCTAAGAAAATTTCGTATTTTTAAAATTTAATTTCTCCAAACAATCATTAAATCTATTCATCAATGAATTTAAATAGACAATAATACAAGCTTATGTCTGTTTGTTCTCACTTAAGATGCAATTTAACGTTTCAAATATTTATATTATTTTACTTCGTGAAAACCTGAGTTCCACGCATGTGGACCTAAAATTATTAGACCCCTAGCAGTATATCTCGTATTTTATTTATCTTATTATGACTTATGACAGTAAAATAGAAATTCGGAACTGTAAAATATTTTTTTTGCAATATCCCTTTATACTTCTTTAGTGAAAAGGTTAATTCTGCATCAACCGATTTTCTAGAGAGTGTACGTAGATTGCTATCCGTAAAAAAGTTAGCTAGAAAATAAAATGAAATAAAACTTGTCTTTTCGATTTAGAGATGTTTCTTTTTTTTAAAAAAAAATATTGATGTTATCAAGTTCAAAGCCATCCCACTCATTGAAAATAAAATATTGTTTTTAAGTTTAGCATTTCTGAGATACAAAAGTTATTTCAATATTCTTTTCAACCTTACCCCAATAAATAAAGAAATTCATTGTACTTTGAAATTTTAGATTTTATATTTATGTAACGACATTACAATGTATAAATGTAATCCATCTAAATAGTTTTTGCTTCCACACGAAACTCTTTATTGTAGAGCGATACAAAACTGAATAAGGTTATATTTCGAAAAATCTTATTGTTGTTCAGATATTAGCTTTAAAAGACATTGAAAACTTCAATTTCTTATTCTAACCAAATTCCAAGGAGTAGCGATAAGATGAAAAATGAGATAAACTTGAAAGAAATAAATTAAATTTCCTTTGGAAATATTCTATTTCATTTATTATTTGTGAATCGTGCTTTCTTTCTATATTCTTAATTCTTTCTATATTCTCAAGTTATTTCTTTCTATATTATTAGGTCTTATTGTTCTTAAGTTATTCATTTCAAAGAGAGATAAACTTTGTCGTGTAATAATAGTAATAGTATTTATGTTTTTATTTCTACTTCAACTAATATATATATCTTTATATAATATATGAAGAGAGTGAAATGATAACACATAGCCAATTACAAAAGACTTGCGGTTAGTAACGCACAAAACAGCCAATCAAAATTCAGAACGCATGAGTGAGAAAAAGTAATAATTTTTAATAATGCTGTCTTCGGAATTATTACAACTAAAGTCACCAGCTAAAGTTAGTTGAAATTTTTATCTTGTTTTGAGTATATTTAATGATGGTGTACCAGTTTTACATTGTTGTCCGTACATTTTTATTGACCTGAAAATCACGTGGTAGGATTCAGTTTTTCCTCATTCATTTCCATATTGTTTTGATTGCCATCAGCATAAAACTAATAAAAGTCATATTGGTATTATTTTTTTTATAAAGATACTTGTATCCCTAATTTAAAAGTTTTTTTCGTGTACTGCTATTATTACGTTTTCAATTGAATTTTCGAGTTTAAAATTAGGAGAAATGTTGTGTTTTTGTATTATTATTATTATGTAGTTCTGAGCTACATTTTAAAATAAAGCTAGCTAAAAAGTTCGTCAAATCTTATTAACCATTTTACAATTATTATTGTTGTGCAAATAACGTTAATATACTGTAATAAATTACAGTTAAATAAATCTGTTAAATGATTTATAGCTTAATGATCAGCTTCTTGCACAATGAGATGCAAACAAAAATAGTATTTGATATATCCGCCCATTTGTTAAGCGAAAATATTAAATTACGGTTGTGAACTCAGCAAATTTTTTCTGAGTACTTGATTATATATATATATATATATATATATATTATCCTTATTATCCTCATAGAACAATCCCTGACGTCCATAAGCTACTTGAGCATAGTATCAGACCAGGTTCACCCATTCATGGCAACAGTTTTTCCTGAGGGGGATGGCGTTTACCAACAGGATAATGCACCATATCATAAGGGTTGAATCGTCGAGGAACATTTCAGTGACTTTCAAGTCATGTCTTGGCCCCCAAATTCACCTGACCTTAATCCAATAGAGGATTTTTGGTCCTACTTGGAAAACCAAATTCGTGCTGCCACACTACCCCCTCGCAATGTGAGGGAATTGCAGGACCAGTTGGTGAGCGCTTGGTACCAGATACATCAGACTACCTATTAGCACCTTGTGGAATCAATGCCACGCGGGTGCTAGAGCACTTATCTCACACTGACGTGACCCGGGTTCAAATCCAAGTGATTGCTGGTTGATACGAGTCCCGCAACCAAAACGCACCGACCAGAGTGCTGACGAAAAATGTCCTCAGTGATAAACGGATCATGAATTAGCGTCCCCTAACCGTCAGGCTTACCACGTGAGGTTTTTAAGGTTTTCCTCGCCTTGTAACGCGAATGTGAGTTAATTAAATCAAAAAGCTCTTCACATAGGTACATTTTTTCCTAATACTTGATCCAGGAGTTTCTTAGTCTTCAGAATTGGGTTCAAAATTACAAGGCTACGGAGTTGAACATTAGTAGACATAAACTCAAACTTTGGTCGGCTATTCAACAGTGGTTATAAAAAAAATAGGTTAATAGGAGCTGAATGCAAAAACTCCAAGCATTTATAAAATTCTAGGCATAACACTGTTACTTTTCATAATAAAAGTACCGTAAACCGGGGCGAGTCTACCCATCCAGGGGCGAGTCTACCCATTTTAGTTTTATTTAATTTTCACTACTTTAAATTACAAATAAAAAATTTTTTACCGATGGAGGACTTAGTTCAGACTCTAAGGAAGATGGCGCTGTAGTAGTTTGATCCGTTTTTATTTATTTGGTGTCTTTTTAAGCGACCTCTTCAAACGTCTTTTGAGAGATTTGTATTGAAAATCAGCAAACTTTTAGTTGGTGCTCCGTAAGTATATTATTATTATTACTATTTTCACTTTGGTTAAGTGATAAACTTATCTAAGACTAAGATTACATTAATTTTATATG